CGTTTGGTAGTGTATGTCTCATATTTAAGAAAAAACACGATAAATAACCGAAAAACTGACAAAAACCGACTCGATAAAAAACCGAATTAATTGGTTTGGTTTGGTTCTAATATTTGAAAAACCGACTTACTTGGTTTGGTTTCTTTTTAGGGAAAAAACTGACCCAAACCGAACCGTGAACACCCCTACTCAGAACATAAAAAGGCTCCTTAAGCAGCTCCTGAATGCAGTGGTCCTGGGGTATCTGTCATGCTCGAGCTCTGGTAAATGGATCCAAACCTGAATGAGAAAAATAAGACCAAATAGATTAGTGACTCGAGACACTATGTGAGACCACAACACCTCCTATTGGACACATGCAAGACACGATTGGGCTATATTTGAAAATTAACCTACGTGGCCAAGAGTGGCTATTAGCGCAAACTCAACTAGGTGACCTCAAAGACGTGAAAATACCTCACTAACGCCCATAAACTCTCGGGAATCGCGGTCCCTAAAACTGCTTTACAAAAATGACCCACTTTGCAGAAATGGCCTATGTGGCCGAAAAATGGCTAAGTATGCAAATTCAACGGGAGTGGACCTTAAATTAAGAGGACACCTTGTTGTGGACTTAGGGCTCTAAGACATGGGATAACAAAATATTTTGAGAGAATAGCGCTATTTTGCAAAAAATGGTCGATGTGGCCAAATGTGGCTAAACATGTAAGATTTGGCTACGACCCCCGAAGCCAAGAACCTAAGATACACTAGGAAGATCGGACCCTATGTGGGCTGCCTACGTATCCCGCCCCGAGAAACGAGAATCAGGTATGCGTAGTTCGGGAAGATTGGATACGACAGAGAATTAAACAAAACAGTGATTTGGAGAAAACATATTTTTTGACTTTTTTTTTAAAAAAATTGATGAAACATGCAAAATCTTTTTGGATTTTTTTATTTTTCATTTTTTTTGTCTTTTCTTGAAAAAGTTGTGAAAGAAAAATATAACTGGGTCCTACTTGATTCATCTTTATATTCACCCTCTTTCCCAAACATCAGTCCGCCACCTTTCTACCCTCAAAGATGCAACATGTATCACGGAGGGATGATTGGATATCTTTTTGGGCCACGAGCCCATTTTGAAAAAATTTGGATAGGCCTCCTACAAAGGGACACGGTACCTGGGACCGGGCCCTGCTAGGTCTAAATGACATGATGCAAATAAAAATGACCTAAAGGCTGACCTAAGTTTGGGGTTCACTAATAAGGCAATTCGGGGGAGCGTATGGTCGATAGTGGCTGCTCAAGCTTTCCACCCACTCCATATGTCCGACGGCCCCCCTCCTAAAATAAGGGTGACTCAACAAAGAGTTCGTGTGCGCGACATGTACTCTGAGACTTGTTGTAGAACGAAGACCCATGTTTATGCAAATGATGACAGTTATAAAGCGGTAAACACATAAGGAAAAGCGATAAACAAATAATCAACAAAACAGGAAATAAGACAAACAAAACAAATAAACAAAGCAAATAAAGAAAACAAACGCCTCAACCGAATATCCTAAAAGCCAAGATCAAGTATCAGCTCGGACCTGCAACTCCCCAGCAGAGTCGCCAGAGCTGTCACACCCTTTTTTTCACCTTTACTAACGCTCTTAAAAATAAATAAAAAGATTTGTAAAGCTCAAAAGGGTTTTCAAACTCGAAGGTGACAAAAATTTGTGTTCAAAAGGATTTTTTCAAAGTCTCCACCTGACATTGGTTTCGGTGTGCCAGGTCACCGTTTTTTTTAAAAAATAATTTTTCCTTTTAAAACACTTGGGACTCCAAAACCAAGTCTGCACCAGAGATTCGGGTAAGGGAGTTCATTTGACTCGGGGAGAAGGTGTTAGGCACTCCCCAAGTCCCGTGAAAATCACGTTGCGTACATGATCAAGTTGGCTTTTAGAATATTCAAATTGAGGTAAAAATAAACACAAAAAAAATAGAGATACAAGAGGCTCGAGGTTGTCCCTACCTAATAAAAAGAAAAATGAAAAATGAAAATAAAGATAGTAAGAGTTCTACTTTCAGCCTGCGAATACAAATACTTTGGGGCATACCCCGGATAAATATATATACAAATCTCGCGGGGCATTCCCCGGATAAATCAATTAACTAATGGGGCGACCTCTTACCTCAAAAAGAAATAAGTAAATTTCCTAATCACTTGCCTACCCATATGTGGTCGGCCTAAGCATGCTCCTAGCGGGCCGATTAAATAAGCAACAAGAACTAAATTATCCCATGAACGTTTATTCTTAAACCCCAAATTTCTAATATCCGAGCCTAATTCCCATGGTACATGTTCACTATTTAAGCCACCAACCAATCCAATTAATTAGTTAATTAAATTCTTCTGTCGTCAAAATATTAATTGGAAAGCCTTATCTCTTAATGAAGTAGTGAAACATGGAATCAAGAACCCATTCTAGCCCTCAAACCCATCCAAACAAATTCACCAGACAATCAGACAACATATGAACAACAATCAGCAGTAGAATAGAACACCAAATATCACCAAGACACTCAAGAATAGGGCAACCATATTCTAACTCATACAATCAATGAAACAGAGCGAGCATATACTAATGAAACAATGGGATCACGATGTTAAACAAAATAGAGTAGAAGGAATGAGAAATGAACCTTAAATGAATCTGAAAATTAATTGTGAGGCAGTTTTGAACTCAAAATTTGGACGAACCGAGAATAGGAATTCGCATCGGCACCGGAAACCTCAAAGCCAAAACGACCTCAATCAAACTCCGTCGTTAAAACAAAATTCCAAAAGAAGAAATTAATCTTATTGTTTTATATTTTTCTTTTGGACTTTAGGCAGAATGAAATCCCAAAATAAGGAGATAAGAAATAAACTAAAAATTTCCGTTCGTTTCTGTTCTTCTTCTCTATCGTTCCTCCCTTCTCATTTCATTTTTTTTGTTTCATTTAGTCTCCAAGTGAAGTCGGCGATAGGGGGAAAGGGGGGGGGGTCTAGTTATACTGGGTGGTGGTACGACTGGTGAAAGGTGTGAGGAGATGGTGGCGAGTCGGCTGGTGGTCGTGGTAGTCGTTGCTTCTCTGCGACGGCTGGAGATCAGAGGGGTTTTGGCGGAGCGTCTGTGTGTATGTGTGTTTAGTTGGTGAAGGAGCTTGGCGACAGTGAGTTGTGGAGGTAAAGATGGGGGTGGGTCGCCGGTGGTCGCTGTGTGTGGTTTTGGCATTGGGCTGGCGGCGACGGTTGGAGGGTGTTCTCTAGGGTTTTTTGTTTTTGTGTCTTGGTTGAAGAAGAAGAGCCGACGGCTGGGAGATGGGGTTCTAGGGTTGGGGTCTTAGGTTGAAGATGATGAAGAAAGGGTCGTTGGTTGGTGTCCCTAGAAGAGGGAACGACTGTGTTGTTTTTGTGGAGTCCAGGTCTTTGGTGTAGAAGAAGGTGACTTTTTCTAGAAGGGTCTCCAGGGTTAGGGAACGGTTAGTGGGTATTGGGTATTGGGCTTAATGGGCTAATCCGAAAATTGGCCTAAGATTGGACCTATCAAGACACAAAATTAGCCCAAAATTCATTTATCTTTTTCAAGGGTAAAATAAAAGTATCATAGATAATAAAATATAATTAACAATTGACTTTAACTGAAATGGAATTAAAACGAAATTATTTTATATATTTTTTTCCAAAGATTATACCAAAAATAGGATAGGATTAGATTAAAATCATCGCAAAATTAAAATAATAATACTACTAAAATACTAATATCCTTGAAAATAAAGTGGAACTATTTTTGTATTTTTGAATTTTATGTAATGTAGATAAACTAAAAGTAACTAGATAAAATATCAATTAGATAAATAAAAGAAAATATTTTTGTAATTTTCATTTTTGTTATAAAATAAAGTAAAATAGTTAAAACTAGTTAAAATAGCAATATTAGGCCTAAACTAAATATTTAAATGCTAAAATATGTAAAATCTTTGGGAGGGTCATAAATTACATGTCTTCACACCCCAATACGGTATGTGACATCCTCGTCGATCTCTCATCCCCTCTGGATAACCGACCCAAGGTACTTGAAATTGTCACTACTTGGGATGACCTGTGATTCAAGCCTCACTATTATACCACGCCCACTTCCCTCGGCTCAGTGCTGAACAAACACTCCAGGTATTCCGTCTTCGTCCTGCTCTGCTTGAAACCCTTAGACTCAAGAGCCTGTCTCCAGAACTCCAACCTCTCGTTAACAGTGGTTCTCGACTCATCTATCATAACTATGTCATCGGCGATGTCATAACATTTGTATAATTATATATAAAACTTTCAAAATTTGTAGTCTAAACATGCCATAAGATTTGTGTCAGAGGCGGATTCAAGATTCAAAAAATTTCTGAGTTCAAGTACGGAATTCTATTATATTGCATTTGTTTTACTGAATTCGAAATATATTATTTATGCTTATTAAGTGAATATTTTAGCATATATACAGCGTTTCGAGCCAAATTATCAGTTTCGAATGAACTCATAAGTAATGAGCTAGATTTGTCCTTATTTGTATGACAATATAAAAGTTCATTATTAAAGATAAAATGAGAACATTTGGAGGACGAAAGAGATGGGAAAGGAGTAAGGAGGTTGAGTTGGTTTGTGGGCTCTATGTTTATATTTCTTAAAATGGACAACTAATCAGCCAAAATTAGGCATGTCTTAGCTACTGTTTAACAACCTATAACTACTACTCTATCCCCACCAGGGGCGAAGTCAGCCTTTCGGCTACGGGTTCGGCCGTACCCAGTAACTTTGATTCAAACTTTATATTTGTCCTAAGAAATTCATTGAATACGTACAAATTATTAAGTTAGAACCTAGTAAATTCAAAGAACTAGAATCCTGAACCCATAAAATTTAAATCTTGGCTCCGCCCCACATATTATTCTCTTTTTTGGTTTGTCTCACTCTCTCATATGTCTCATTCCACCAACCTTCTTCATTGGTTGTGTGTCTAACTCTTACATCTTCTTCTATATCTTAAATCATTCTATCTTCTTTACTAAGCCAATTAATTGCTATCTCCTAATATAACTCTCTTTAACTATATTCATCTTTATTCATAGTTTCTTCGATTTGTATTTCTCTCTTCTTCTGCTTTTTTCCATTTTGGTGTTATTTTTTTCTAATATACTTTAAAAAAATAATATGAAGGATAGATCAATGGAGAAGTTTGTGGTGTTTCCATTCTCTATAGGTTGTGGTTCTGAGTCAAGTATTGCCGTGGCAAAAACCAGCAGCAGCCAACCTGCAGAAAACACTAAAATTTCAGTATTAAGTCAGGTTCCAACAAGTATGTTTCTTTTCTTTGAGTTAATTTGTTTAATCATTGTTGATTTAGCGACAGATTAACGACGAACTCATGGCGAATTTCAGTTTTTTTTGGTAGTGCATATGTATACATAGTACGAGCAAGAAACAATAGGTTCTAAAAGAGTGAATAACTGCGTGTGATTTTATAATTATGTATTATTGACATTGTTTATTTGGATGTTATTAAGAAAGACAAGTAGGAGAAGAGAGTTCATCAAAGGTGAAAATAAATGGATTTTGGGGATATTTGGCCAGACGACAATTTTCTCAAGGGGTGCAGACGTTGAAAAGAAGTTTCAAAGGTTTCTCTCAATTATTTGGTAAGTACCAGCTTGGTTACTCAACTGTACTATCTATCTATACTATATTAAAATCACGAAGGCTCATAGCGAAATGTCGTTTGTCTTTTTTGCCCTTTAAAAATAAAGTTCACATTGGGCAAAATAGTCATTCTAATTAATTTCCTAATATTTAGGAATAGTCATTTAATTATTTCACTAATATCTAAGAATAGTCATTTAGTTTTAAAAATGTAATCTCAATTGTTCGAGTTACATATCAATCGTGCAGGTTTATTTTTTAATAATTAAAAAAGACTATTGTTTCAATCATCTTATCCGTGAAATAATATGAATCGATAACGATGAGAATGAAGATACACAAAAAAACTTAGAGCAAACTGTGATGACCTAAAATGTCATCTTCTGTTTTAGAATTCGATTCCATATTTCGAGGCCTTAAAAATCTCATTTTATCTCTCCTCGGTTTGCATGCACAGTCGGGGCGTGCATCCGGAATGTTTTATATGAAAAATGGAAGAAATAATAATTTTTGGCCTAAAAAGTTAATTTTTGTCGACTTCGGTCAACGTTTGAGTAAACAGACCCGGACCCGTGATTGGACGGTCCCGGTAGGTCCGTAGTAAAATATGGGACCTGGGCGTACGCCCGGAATCAGATTCCGAGGTCCTAAGCCCGAGAAATGAATTTTTGATAAAAATTGTAAGAGTTCTTATATATTTTAAATAAGGAAAGATTTCTAGTAAAATTAAATGACTATTCTTAGATATTAGCGAAATAATTAAATGACTATTCCTAAATATTAGGAAATTAATTAGAATGACTATTTTGCCCAATGTGAACTCTATTTTTAAAGGGCAAAAAAGACAAACGACATTTCGCTAAGGGCCTTCGTGCTTTTAATATAGTATAGATAAGAACTCTTAATATTTAGGACTTTAAAAATAATAAAAGTTTACCTTATTTAAATTATTTCCTCATTTAAATTAACATACTTTTCATATTGAGATAATATGAATTATATATTCTTTGACGAGTGTGGAACTCATTTGAGGGACAAAGAGTAGGTTTATTATTTAAAACTTTAAATCAAAAGATTCAAACGCCATTAGTTATGTATTTTAGTTTTAATATAGTTTTGAAAGTTTGAAATTCTAAAAAAGAATTTCTTGGTTTAGGATTTTTGTTGTCTTTTTATACTTCGTGTGTTTTTAGGCTCGTGATGATCTTTAGTTATGTATATAACTATAAAACTCATGACAAATATCAATACTAATAGTAAGATTCTCATGATAAAGCCATCAAAATAATTAAAATGATCATATTTCAGCAAAATTATTCGTGAATTAAGAGAGATTATATCCAGTCAGTTGAATTCAAATACCATCACTAAATATTATCAAAAAATTAAAACGTATATGCGTATAAAAATAAATATTGCAAACACTTTTATAATGATTTATCTGAATGCACAGTACATGAAATGTTAATAGATTTTATACATTTTGAGAATTATATTACATAACGATCTTCATGTTTGTTAAGATAATAATAAATATTAATTTTTTTACCTTAATTTTTATGATAATTTTTTTTTTAAAACACGTGTAGTTGGGTTTAAACAACACCCATCCGATTAAATTATTTGTATGATAGTTAAACCTAATAATATGGAGTCTTTTTTATTTTTTGTATTTTCAGTAAGGAATAAGATTCATATAATGTACTTGAGCAAATAAAATTTATTCTTTAAGGCCTTGAATTAACATATGTGGTTGGAAGAGTGTGACGTATACTCAAGGATAAAAATAAGAAAGAAAATGACAATAAATGATAATTACCTAAGTTAGAATACATAGTTGGAAGAGAATACTGAGATACTAAAAACGAGAAAGTAAGTATATCATACTATAAATGATACGGATGTGGCAAAATCAATTCATTTTTTAGTAACTCGTCTAACACGCCAAAGTTAAGCAAATTGAATAATGAGCCGTTTATTGACTTGACTCAACATATTGAACTCAAAATGACATATGGGGTCAAAATAGTATAATCAACAAAAATACAACCAAACTTAAACATATAAACTCAAATTTGGAGATTAGAATTATGTAAAGTTGAAAGACCGTAAGCTAATAATTTAAACAAATATTAGCTTTCATGTTTTTTTTTTTTGATTGTCATATGTTACTTTTTTTGTGTCTCCTGCAGTGTACAAAGAAGAGATTGAAGAAGTGGAAATGGAGATGGAAATAGGGAATCCAACAGATGTGAAACATGTAACACATATAGGATATGATGGATCCACAAAAATAATTAACCCTATCAAAGGCTGGGATAATTCAAAAGCACCTGAATTACTTTCTTTTCCTAATTCAATCTCCATTAAACAATTTGAGCATGCTATGGCTTCCCAGGCTAATGGATCCTCTAGGTTTTAGTAGCGATATATTTGATCTACCTTTGTCTTCCATTTTTCTTCATGTAAGTTTTTTTTTTGATTTTTTTGAGGTTGCTCCCTTGTGATTAGGAGGTCACGGGTTCGAGCAGTGTAAACATGCTCTTGTAAAAATACAAGGTAAGGCTACATAGATCCTTGCGTGGTCCGGTCCTTCCCCGAAGCCCGTGCATAACGGGAGCTTAGTGTATTGGGCTGCCCTTCTTTTTATTAGGTTTTCTTTATTTCTTGATCGTGAAGATTTTTTTTTTTTTTTTGTGTCATAATGGATTTGGAAATGGCCTCAGTTGAGGTGTTCGGTTGATTGTTGAGGACAAGTTAAAGGTGCCGTTTATGTATTTTGCCTTAATAATACAAAGTGATGAATAATACAATTACGATGAGCAAAAAAACAAAAAAAGAGGAATAAAAATATAAATTTCAGGAAAAATATAAAAATACAAGAGTTATTTTTATAATTAGAATTACGATGAGGGTCCTCTATATAATTATCTTTCGTGGCGACTAAAGTTGCTACTAAAAATAAAAAATATCGCCACAAAAGCCGCATACGTGGTCTCGCCCCTTCAAGTAGCGACCTAGTCGCCTAAAAGTCGGTGGCCATATTTTCCTTTAGTGGCTACTAGTCGGGACTAAAAGTAACTATTTCATTTTGACATTTTCCTTCAGTGGCGTTATTATTAAAGTCATCACAAAAAGAATATATCATTTGTAGCGACCAAAGTTGCTACTAAAAGTAGATAATGTTGCCATCAAAAGTCGGCATGGTTGGTTGCCCCTTCTAGTTATATGAACAACCTAATTGTTTCTACTTGACAACCTTACAATTATTAATTTGACAAACTTAAGTTTTTAAAAATAAATAAATTTGTTTAAGCATATTAGTACATGAATAGGCGATTCCAAAAATACTTAAGCGATTTAAGAAATATAAATAGACGATCTCGAGCATTACATAGGTTCATTCTCAAAGATGATGTTATTACTTTTTCTTATTTTAATTATTTTAAAACATTTACTAATTATTTCCCCATACATAGTTTAGTTTAAAAATAGATTACAACAATAAAAAATTATTCCTGATTGGAAGAGATCATACTACATGATGGATAGATATTATATACGAGATATTACAAAGTACATAAATAACCTCGTTGTTTCTGCTTCACAACCTTCAAATAATTTGACAAACTTAAAATTTCTAAAAAAAGTTACATAAGGATGTTAAGACTAGGGCCGTGCATAATTTGGTAAATACCGAATTACCGTATCGAAATCGAAAATTTTGGTATTTGGTATTCGGTATGGTATTTGGTTTAAGTTTAAAAAAAAATATGGTATTAGGTATGGTATTTGGTATTTTTTAATGAAATACTGAAATATCCATACCGTACCGAAATATATATTATATTACACAAAACACATATTATTAATTATAACATAAATATAAAAAATCGAAATTTTACTTTTCTTTATTCTCTAAATTCATCAATTAACTCTAAGCAAGTAAGAAGATATTTCTAATGATCAAATTTATTCCTTTATGTGTAGTTTTCTCTCTCTAGGTTGATATTTGCTGGTTTTAGACAAAACTTTTGTCAACAAACATTTTCTGTTTTGTACTTTTGAGTACTTTAATTAAGAATATTATAGTTTATGACTCTATGCACTTGGTAGTATTCAAACCGAATAAACCGAAATTACCGAACCGAATTAACCGAAACGAAAAAGAGAAAAACCGAACCATACCGAATTTAATTAGGTACGGTATTGGTATAGCATATTAAGAAATCGAATACCGAAAATACCGAACCGAAATGTCTAAATACCGTACTGTACCGACCAACGAACACCCATAATTAAGACTACAATTTTCAAAATATTTTAGACAAAAGTATCTCGATTTTAAAATCCCTTTCTTATAACATATTAGTACATGAATATAGGCAATTCCATATATAATCATAGTCGACTTAAATATGTCAAAGGCAGTTATATTCTTTTTCAAAGATGATTTTATTGTTTTATCTTATTTTATTTTATTTTGAAATATTTACATATTGAAGCATACATAATTTAGTTTAAAAAATAGATCACAACAAAACAATTTGCTGTTAAATTAATTTTTACTGCTCATAAAACAAAACACTTTTAATTTCTATATCTTGTATATACTAATACATGTAGTATTATACCATCAAAGCATACATGAGACTGCTTCTTTCTTAATCAGAGGTCGTGGTTTCGAGAGCACTTCCCCGAAATGGGACACTACATGGTACGAATCCGGATATTCCTCAATGGGTCCTACGCGGCACGAATTCGAATATCCCCTGAATTGAGCCCTATATGGTATGAATCCTGATATAGTCGGACTCCAATACGATTAAACCAAAAACAAAGGGTGATTTTTAAAAATAGCCAGATTTACAAATGGTCGTTCAAAAATAGCCCAATTTCAAAAGTAATCGAAATTTAGCCACTTTTTATGTAAAGATAAATCTGAGCGAAAACACTGTTCAAAACCCGGAAAATACTCCAGTATATTATGCTGGAGTTCCAGCATAAGTATTCTTGAACTCCAGCATATTATACTGGAGTTCTAGGATATTATGCTGGAACTCCAGCATAATATGATGGAGTTCCAGCATAAATACACTAGAACTCCAGCATAATATAGTTCCAGCAAGTATAATGGTCCAATATAATATACTGGAGTTTGGAGCACCAGTGCTCCAGTCTCCAGTATATTATACTGGAGCCAGCAAAATATACCGGTCCAGCATAATATGCTGGAGTTCATACACAAGTGCACCGAACTCCAGTATATTATGCTGGACCGGTCTCTATTGCAGCAAAACGGTGGCTATTTTTCATTGACTTGGTAAACACTGGCTATTTTTGATTGACCAGTCCGAAAACCGGTTATACCCTGAAATTTTGGCAAAAACAAATGTAGTATTATACTAATATTTTTCAGATCACCGTTTCCGCTTCTCCTTCATCCAATACCAGGGGACATTTCCCCTCCTATTTTACAAAATTTTCTCCATAGACTCTCTCTATCTCCCATTTGCAAAACCCATTTGCGGATTTGGTATTATAATGTATTTATTTTCTATTTATCTTTTATATTTTGAGATGTTATGTTTTTTGCAGAAAATAACCAGTTTTCAGCTCATAATATTGTTGCAGAAAATATAAAAAGTTGTGAGATTGGAAGGAAAATGGGGTTCTTGGTTACAACTCTAATATTTGTAGTGGTGGGAGTTATTGCATGTTTCTGTGCTGGAATCTGCTGCAACAGAGGGCCTTCCACTAATCTGTATGCTCTAATTTCTTCCTCATTGTCTACATTACCTTCACATTGTTTTTTATTTTTGGGCCTATTGTTGTTGATTATTCTGCAGGCTGCTTGATTAAACCAGCTTTATTATCAGAAATTAGTGTCTGTTTACTGTATTAGAGATTCACTTTTTACTAAAGTTAGTAACTTTTTTGTTTTAACTGAACTAATTGATGTTGATTAATTGCTCCCTCCGTTTAAGAAAGAATGAACCTATTTCATTTTTAGTCCATTTAAAAAAGAAATCCTTTTCTAAATTTGAAAAACTGCAACTTTAAACTTCTCATTTTACCCCTAATGAGATAATTTACAGCCACAAAAATGTTTTAGACCACATGTTTTAAAAGTCTTCCGCTCTTGTTAAACTCCTTACCTAGTCAAATAGGTTCATTCTTTTTAAGAAGGAGGAGTATATGATATCATTGATCAGAAATAGAATTAGAATATTGTACTTCTTTTTTATGCTTCTTTGATATTGCATCAGTTGTCTATTTCGTTTGTTGCTCAGATTGATTGGAGAAGTCTGTCCATTTTTTACCTTTGTTATGGTGGTGTCCAGCCAGCTTTAGCGCAGCTCCATTATTCCGCTAAGTACTTGCATCCTTTCACCCATACAAAGTGTACTATTCACTTTGGCGGATTGGAAATCACCTAGATTTTTAGAGTCTGTATCCGGTGATAATGATTTGAGCACAAGATTGTTGAATGATTTATGCTGAAACTTTTTTGATCCTTTGATCACCTCTGATTTGGAATAGTCTGGGAATTTCTGAATAGGTTTGAGATAACAGACACTCGGGGAGATATTATACGAAAAAGTCAGAGCATCGACTTCACCCATGCTCTTCTGACTATCGTGACATTGAATAAACCTTCAAGACTTAAGCTTTAAAATTTTACACATTAATATTCCTTACATTGAGGTCCCTCATGTTTAAGTTCTAAGTTAGTTTAATTCAAAATGCTATATGTTTTATGTGTTGCTTATAATTGGATCAAAGGCAGCACAAAATTTCTAAATTCCCCTTTTTTAAGGCTTCCTTAGAATACTTTGTAATTTGCATGATTATTAGTAAGTCAAATATCAGTTTAATTGCTTAAATGGTCCCATTATAATCACTTCTTTGCTCAAACCTCCTAATGTTAAGATTGCAACTAACAAAAAGCATATTCTTTACAGAGTTAAGTATTTGAAGATCAGTATAGAACAAACCATTTGAACAGTAACTTTGAGCTCTGTTGCTACATCTCTAACTGAAGTTTGGTGGTGCAGGTTACACCTGACATTGATTATAACTGCTACAGTATGCTGTTGGATGATGTGAGTCTCTCTATCTCTATCACCCCCCCCCCCCCCTCTCACTCTCTCTCATTCACACACCACACTCAGACACACAGTGCGAACAAACCCCCACACACAAAAAAGGAAAAAAGAAAAAGAAAACACACTCTTAACATGCATGGGGTCAATAAAAAAAACAAGACATGGTACATATTGCCATATTTCTTGAATGTTGAAGCATGACTTCACGTGTTTGACCTGAAACGAGAAACTAGTTAACTCCTATTCTGAATTTTCTACATCGCATTGCATTGTTTAAAAGTTTTGATGTTTAAAGGGGTTGTATTGTTAATCACCCATTTATTATATGTATTATGTAGACTACCTTTCCGCTGATACGTACATATTTTGGTTGGTTACTTGTTTTATATATCGCTTGATAAACTAGACAGTGGGTTGTTTGATTTTTCTAGTTTTCGATATTGGGATATTGATGCTACAATGAAGAACATATGGTCATTTGAGGAGTTGGCTGGTTATGTAATTGAACTGTGTGCGCAATAATCATGATTCTAGGATAGATGACTGTTGTGACCATTTCATCTAAAAGTTTAAACTTTTGAGAGAACACACTTTTATTTGTTTAATTATGTCTTCAACACACCTTCTCACATGCACGCTTGATACTTTTTTGTGTATCAAGCACGTGAAAGTTTCTTTTGATAATGGGTGGCTATGAACTTGAACTGAGGACCTATGCTTGCTTTGATATCATGTTGAACTCTATGCTCATCACAGCCCCTTGAAATGCTTGTTTTCTGAGAAATCAGAGGAAATAAGGACATTTATAGGTTTTTTCCATCATCTGATGATTGCAAATGGTAGTGCGCCATGTTAACCTTTTAATGAGTGGATATGGGCTTGTTGTGAGCTTGTTTGAGATTGATTGCTTTATGGAACTCTAGCAGTGGATAATGGCCAGAATATACCTCTTTTCTTCTGTTAAAGAAGCATCGCGTAAAAAAGAATTAAATAGAAAGCCCCGTGTAATTTGGTCAGTTTTCTGCACAAGCCACTGGAATTCTCCTCCTGCTGGAAGGCTGTATTGTTGACGGATTAGTCACCTTTTGAAGATGTCGCTAGTTCTGGTTGCCCTACAGCATTGGAGAAAGTACTACTTATTGTTTGGTGTTGTCATGCTTTCTTAGCCTTGAAATAATGTCATTTTCACTTGGGACTTTAAAAAGTAGTAGTTGGATTACTGCTACTTGCAGCTTGAATTACCATAAGTTCTTTTAGTATGCTAGCGTTCGGATATAACAAGTGAGAGGTTTAAGTAATGACACTCAACCAACATGAGTGACATCTCGATGGAATGTTAACTGTTTCTAACACTTTTATTGTTCTTATGGATAGGTGGGCGATTGTGTATCTTGCACAGTTGAAACCACTCATCGTACCAATCTTGAGCGAAGGAGAATGAGATGCTTATGGAATCCAGCAGCCATCCGTTATTAAAGGAGGATTGATGAGAGGAAGAAGTATTTTGTGGCATGTAGTAGCTGAAGATACTGTTGTATCAAAATTTCTGTGTATTTGTAGTTGGTGGAAGTAATTTTCATTCGTATTGTAGATTCATAACATGTTTTCTAGTTCGAAATCCTTTTGGGGATGTTTTTCTGAGCTTTGGACTAATGGCAAAAATAACAGATGGATGATGTAACTAGTAGTACTTACCCTCTGCTGCTGTAATAAAATCATTTTCCATCTGCATTATTTTTTTTCTTTTAAGAGAACATATATATTCTTCTTTGTGGGCAAAGTTACCTGGTAATTTGAACGGGTAGAAAGTAGAAGGTACTCGGTGAAATAGTTAAGCTGCACGCAAACTGGGTAGATGACGGCGCCTTCCATGGTCAATGAAAGGCAAATTCACATTTTTCCACTTTTCTAGTTGAAGAAAATCCTATTCAAATATTTTTCAGAAGTTTAATTTTTAGAATATTATTAAGCTTTTGTTCAGATCACCTATATAATATTTGAAGGTTACTAGCAATATATTAATGCTAAGGTAATTTATCAAATTGTTAAGACTATAAAAAAAATATGTGAAAAAGACAAGAATTATATGACAAGTTTAAGTGCAAGTTTATGAATGCAATATATTATGAAATAACCAGATCCATAATTATAAAATCTTAAGAGGTTGTTTGTTACAGAATAGTCACAGAGAAATTATAATAATGCTGAAAATAATAAATATGCAAAAATTCTGCAATTTTAAAAAAAGGAAAAAGCAAAATGATAGGGCGCGTTTACCACATGGACTTACTGTTCGAAAAATAAAAATAAAAAAATAAAAGAGGTCACGTCAAAGACACCTCCCTCTAGAGTCCAGAGCGGCGAAAAAAATGAGAAAAAACGACCAGAAAAATCATCAGAATTCCTAAAAATGTCCAATTAATTTCACATTTGAATGTCTCCTCTTCTCCCTCTGTATCCCAATCCAACAAAATTGCGGAACAGATCAAAAGGCTTAGGGTTAAGCTTTTTGAAATTCTCAAAAATCAATTCATTCCGCAAAATGGTGGTGCCTTTATTACAGGCACCGGAATTTAGGAAATTAAGGAGATCAGCTTTAGTATTGGGCCTCTCCAATGCGCTTATAATAATAATGGGAACTGGTATTGTAATTATTACGCGTTATTCGTGTGGAGAAAAGGATATTGCGCCTGTTTTTGTTATAATGATGGCTAGTTTTGTAAGAATTGGTGCTATGATTGGAACTGGTATTGCTCAACAAGATACTGCTTCTAGTATTTTAACTTCTCAGTCCGATTTGCCTGATTCTCAAGCTGCTATTCGACACCAAAGACGGGTATAAAAATTAACCTTTTTTTCCTTCTTTTACAGTAGTTTTGATTATGTGCAATGGTGAAAAATGCGAATTTTTTAGTACTATTATGGTATATGTTTCATTTCATGTGGCGGTGTTTTACTGAACATTGGAAATTGAAGCATTAATTTGACTTAGATATGGGAAAAAGTTGGTTTAGGGATTATATTAGTGACAGTGGAAGAAAATGTTGCAGTGGTTTGTTTTTATTTAATAAATGATGACATGAGTTGAGTTTAAATGGAAAACTGAGGATTCATATGGACGATCCCAACTTGTTTGAGACTCAAGCGTAGTTGTTGTCTTTAAGAAGTTTATTTGATGAAGAACTTTACATCAAAGTTCAGCTATTTTTCATGCGGAATGAGACTTTGAAAGAAATTTGAATGTATTTTTTCATAGCTTTGATCCAAAGAAGAAAGCGATTGTAGAGTTAAGAGGCTTGTACCTACTCGTTTCTTAGGTGATGTTACAAGATTATCACAAAAGCATTACATGAGAGAAGAAAGGTGGTCATTGGATTGAAAGCAATTTACTTCCACTGTTCCACAAATTTCAGTCAATATTTGATCTTGGCTGGGATACAAGAATGTAAAGCTGGTGGCTTTCCTTTAGTATTGCCATACACCTTAAAAGGCTGCTGTAACTAGTTGGCAAGGGCATATGAGGTGATGCCTCAAGTCCATAATGGATGACGGTGCCTAGGTGCGTCATTGGGTAACACAGAAAGAAAGGAATTGCAAGTTTTTCGAAGGAGGATCAGAGGCATCAATTTGTTTGAGTCTAGATGTTCACAGGCTAATAATTTTTTGTGTTCGCTGAAACTTGTGAATGAACTTTGACACTTTTCTGGACTTCATAGACTCTTTGCATATGTAAAGGAGTTATAGTCTTTTACTTTGATGTAGATATTTAGCACATTATTCGTGGTGCTTCTACTGTACAAATTACCTTACTTGTATATAATAAAACATATTCAGTAACATTTGGAATAAATTAATTATCCATCTCCATCATCAGTATCAGCATCACCACCACCAAGACCCAATACAGATGTGAATCCACGAGTATTCAGAATGTCAGTCGCATGGTGTATGGATTGATCATAAAATGCATATTACAGCTTGTATTGAATTGTATCATAACTCATATTTTATGAGATATGATAATAATGGTTAAAACTAAACCAAGAAAAGAGAGAAAAGAATTTGACTTAAAAGGTTTCTACACAGTTGTTGCTTGTCTATTCCTTTGTATGGTAGTTCCTTGTAGTTCCCTTTTGAAATAGGGGGATTTAAACGGTTGGTTTCCTATTATACAAGAGTATTTTAGAGTAGCTAGTTGATCCTTGAATCTGTTCCATGTAGGCATCTTAACACAATTGGATGTATCACCTTCTATACACCTTTATATTTTTTCTGCAAGGTAGGGTCTGCTTAAAATTTTACCTGAATAATCCCAATTTTATTTGCGCACACAGCTGGATTAGACATGCCTAGTATTTATTTAACAGATCCAGACGTCATAATTAGCCTTTTAGACAGATCTGCTGCTCTTTCTCTCCTCTGGTTTTTAGCATTCGCATGTGTATTTATTTTATGTTTGTTGATTTGGACTGTATCTTATGGATGAAAGAAATGGCACTGTCATCGGAGGGCATCAAGATATTTGAGCATGTGATTTTTTCCTAATATAAAGATTATAATTGCAACATCTAGCCAGACATATGCAACTTTTGTTTATTGTTTAAGATTTAAACAGATTTTAATGCCAGCCTGCTGCTTTAGTATGTTATTACTTTATTTTGGCAAGACATATTCATCTGCTGTGATGGGCATGTGATAAAATTATTCTCCTTTACCAAGTATTCTCTACGTGTAAAATCATTAGAGTCCTCTGAAAGACATTTCTTGTTTGTAACATATTTTTGGGTTTTACGTCCTGATTACAGAGGAAATATAGGAGACTGTTATTGTGGACCCGAATTGCCTCAGTAATTACAGTGGTGCAGCTTCTTGGGGCTGTTTTTCTTTTGGTCAGTGTCACAAATCTTTTGCATCGTGATACAACATCAAGCAACTGTCTGAGAGGTGATATGGAATTGTATGCGTGCCTTCTTGAAAATTTCGATCTAATTACAATATTTTACCTTATCTTCGCTTTTTCATTCTTTTATTGCCTGCTTAGTTAAACCTGACTACTATGTTTGTAAATAACACAATTAACCAACATCTTTTATTTCAGTCATCAAACTGAAAATACTTGTGAAAGTATCTTGCAGGGCTTCTCTCAAATGGTTCGAGGTGGCAACGCAACATGCTTATTCTTTTTATGGTTATTATATCTTACGTGGCTCCAGTACAATGTTTTGCTGGAGCCGAGGTCTTGAGATGGAGGTCTTTCTATGCAACAGAAGATAATGCATGGAAGGCACATTATAGGGAGGTATTTGATCATGGCATTCGTGAAGCTTTGTGCTGTCTGGGACGGTTCAAATACTTGTAGGCCTCTCTGCATATGTTGACCGCAGGATTTGAATTGTCATTGAGATTGTTTAACCCGCTTTCTTTGTTACTCTGTTTCCTGCATAGGACTGTGCTAGAGGAAGATGAAGTTTGTTCTGTGGCACAGTTACTTGGTGATCTTGTGACTTACCGTGCATCTGGGACAGGTCATTTGGAGCTCTTAGCAGGTTAGTGCTGTTGTAGGGGTCTGTGTTTTACTTTTACGTATTCTTTATTTGGTACATGTAAAGTATACAGTTCACCATTCTATAGAAAGTGTTGAAGAATATGTAGGGTGGTGCAAGACCTTAAAAAATCCTTCTGGATGCCTTTTATACTTGATTGTGGACATGAAAGGTTCTAAAAAAACAAAGCTGTTCTATTATTGTATTATGTATTCTAACATCTCTTCCAAAATCATGCTGGTTGAACATATATCTGGAGAAGCGTATCCCCAATTTCCAAACTCACGAGGATACCTCTTTAGTTTGTTACGTGCATTCTTGTGCAAGCATATCTGACAGTAGGGATGTTAGAGAAACAGAAATAAAATAATCATGGGTTCTTTCCTCGCTCTCAAACCTTCACTCACCCAAAAAAAGGGCAAAAGGGACATAGGATTATGTACATTTATCCACAACTAGTTTAGGTCCTTTAGGATGTTTGGGTGCTGCAGTTCTTTCAGAATGTTGCAATTCAGATGTTTGGAATGATTTGTACAAGGAAAAAGGTGTATTAATTAAGAAATAGTTATACAAGAAGTCACAAAGTTTCTTGTTGAAAATCAAATGGAAAAGAATAAAAAGGTCATTTGAAAAAATTAGAGATTTTAATCAGAGGGAGCTAAGAGGAGAATTCTTGTTCATTTGACATGATCAAGGTTTTGTGTATTGTTTTGCGATCCTTTTCTTCGGTAATTTCTCCTCCAACATTACAGTAAAAATGTAGTGATGAATGCTAGAAGTGCTTTAAGTATTGGATTTGTTTTCTACTTGCTCGATTCGTACTTATTCACTTTGGAAAAAAGCTTATCTCTTTCTATCAGTAAGGTAAAAGAAAATGATCTCTTCTTGATATTCAGGACTAGCTTTATTGCAGAATCCACGTTCATTCTCTAAATTGTATGAAGAGTCAATGATCGTACCCATGGAAAGGATGCGCGAGGCTGCTTTCTTTCATCCGTTTGCTGAAGCAGCCTACACGGTATGGCAACAAGGCATTTCAATTTGACTTGATTTTCGTTCTCCTTATTTTGATGTGGAATGGTCAATTGCAGGGTCTATTACTTGATATAGGAAGAAATCCTGTACTTTTTTCATGTTCATGGCTCTATAGGCAAGGCATTCTTGCTCCCTGGCTATGGAACAGGTAAGACACCTATTGCTATATCTTGTTT